ATGTTTAGTCTGACCAAGGACTTTGTGAGCCTCATGCTCTGCCAGGGAGGAAGGAAAGCCGGGAGGAAGCAGAGACAGGACATCTGACCCAAACTGATCAAAGAATTATTCCATACCACAGCACGTCATGCCGAGGATGTAACTGAGAGTTACCAGAAAGGGCTAGTTCACTGCGGGGCTGGACTAGGTAATGGTTGGTGCTCGGTTAGGCGGGGTGGGGGGGAGTTACTGGTCAGCAGGTGGTGAGGTGTTGTATTCTCTTCCCTTGTTATTTCCTTTATCATTGTTATTATTGGTGGTAGCAGTAGTGATTTGTGTTATACCTTAGTTACTTAACTGTTCTTATCTCAACCCGTGGGAGTTGCATTCTTTTGATTCTCCTTCCCATCCCTTTGGGAGAGGGGGGAAGAAAAAAGGGGGGAGTGAGAGAGCGACTGCGTAATTTATGGCTGACTGGGTTTAAACCACGACACATGCCAAGATAAAGTTTAAGCATTTTTATTATAAATTCTTGCAGCTGATCTATAACTCCTTTGCAAAACACAAGAAATAAGGCAACTTTCAAGACACAAGTAACCTTCTGACTGTGCTTTTATAAGACCTTGATATTGCAAGACACACAGGCTCCAGAACAACAACAGTAAAATGACATTCATGCACTTCTAAATCTAGTTTTATCATTTGTACCAGCATCAATGCTTATTAAATGTATGCTTATTAGAAAAGATCTTAGAAGATCAGACACATAACATTGAGAAAACTACTGCAAAAGTTGGTGACAATATTTTAATCCTTCCTTAGAAAGTGTAAACCTGTAGAAACATTATGTTCTCAAAGAAAGTGTTTAATATGAAGTCATGTACTGTATCACTCAATGCAACCTTGAATAAAACCATATGAAGTTGCTCAGAAAGTTTTGAGTTTTATATAAAGTTCTGCATTAATTTATTCATATACAATAGAGCACTGATAATAAAGAATGATTTGTGACTATCATGGTTCCTATTACCTTAAAGAAATGCACAAATTTATATATTTAATATATGTGTTCATTTAATGAATAGCACTCAGCAATCTGCAGACGGTCTTAAATTAGTAGGCAGTTGGTCATCACTGTCGCTTTAATTTGGCTTTATTCATCTGCTTTCTATCTAACTACAAATGCTGGCCAGTCACAACAACAACCAAGAAATGCTGCTACTTGCATCTGAGATACAGTCCCAAGGACTGGACTATGCACATGGTTGGCATCCACGCTGGTACCTGTCAGTATCATTTAGTTTATGTTCAGACATTCAAATCTGTATAACTTAAGAGGAAAAAACTTGAAAATTCTCTCTACCTTTCACATAAATCCCTTGTAAGTATTGAAAAACAGCAGTAAGGTCTTCCTTAATACCGGGATTTCTAACTAGCAAGGCTGGTTTCCTGGTTAAAATGAAAACAAACTATAAAGCAGGCACCAAGCATGAAGAAAGCTCTGCCAGATCTGACTGGGTTCTGACCAAGGGCAGCTCAGGGTTTAGAGCCACACTGCCCAAAATGAGACTCGGGAGGCAAATGGGGCAGCCTGCCAGGGCGCAAGGGCAAGGAAGATTCAGCACCCAAAACTCACTGCCTGAGGCAACTTGAATTAACAAGCATGTGAGGCAGTACCAATTTTGCCAAGTGAGGACCAGCTACATAAAGTGGGTAAATCCTGATACAGTAGCAAGAGAGAAGAAAGGATGTCTGGAGAGAATGGGCTAATAACACACAGTTCTGCTACTCCTCACCAGGACAATCAGCTACTGAAAATAAAGCTATAGGAATGACTAGTCCTGAGGTGATGCTATGTATCCTTCTGGGGAAAAGATATAACTTGATTTCAGTGCTTCGAAAAACAACTCTCAATCCTGGATCTGTTCTTCCATCCTTTGAGGCTGCACGTCCTGCCAGTTTTCTACACCTCAGAAAGAATTTCTCAGTTTATGGATTTCTCTCTCTAAAATCAATCTCTGCAATAAAGAAAGAAATTAAACATTGGTGCATGGACCACCCATACCGTAGAAATAGCAACAACAGAAACGCTGCAATGAATGCATGTTGGTGGGGTTTTTTGGAAATACTTAAAATCTCCTGCTCATACAGATTTGTGATGATCTCTATGAGCTGCATAAAACTGCAACAAATGGATAAATTTTCCATTAGATGCTCCACGAAGATGTGATCTGTAACATGATTGGAAGTCACCAATGCTTTTTAGACTGATAAAGAAGTTTAGTTGAATTTAAGGAAGTAACTGACAAATTTTAAAATGCTGTCTATCCTACAGGCTATCAGAAAATACATAAAAATCACATAAAGATTTCTTCTTAGAAAGTACTGGATTTCAAATTTAACCACTTTGGCACTATTTAATTATCTGAGATTGTTCCTTTAAAAATACTGTTCATATTTCCTGATGTTTCATAACCCAGATTATAAAATGAAAGCTTCAAAGCCAGGCTGCCGGCCAACATTTATCAATATTATATGGAATTTAATTACTCTTTAAGTCAAAGGAACTATGTTCAAAGATACATAGCACTTCAGGTCCCTTATATATAATTTTAGTAGTAAAACTTGTTTGACCAGTTTCATTATTATGTCAACACAAAAAAGGGAAGTGTTAAGTAAAACCAATATTGGAGAAGATTGGAATAATTTCAAGCACAAGGAAATACAGGAAAATAAGTAAGTGGCAGTTACAAATACTTTGTCTTCAGAGAAATGGCTGGTCTTAAATGTAGGTTTAACAAATTAGCAATAATAAGTAAACCACTCGAAATTAGGATCAACACTTTCCCACCAAAGAATTCTTAACATGATTTAATTCAAAATCTGAAAAATCTACAGTATAACAGTCCTGAAACAAGCAACTGTGTCAAGCTTAATATGAAGTAAGCACAGGGACATATAATTTTAAAATAGTTATATATGTATCTTAAATGTATAACTCAAAAATGCCAATTACAATGCTTTCGTTAATGAAATTTCTATTTTCTTGTTTTCCTAGGAGCTGTAAAAATCAAAATGGACAAGGAGAGTAGAGATTCACTGTTCACCGGATAGGGGATGGGAAAAGAAAACTGTATTTTTGGCAGTTTATTCTAATCATGAAGCCAGAACAAGCAATTTCATTTTCCTTTCTTACCTGCTCATTTTCACTCAATGGCCAATAAGAAGCAGCAGGTCTATTGATTATATGCATACTATGCTATTGCATGGGTAAGTAAAATCAAGAGATGAAATGGAAGGTAAGAGCAGCAGCCAAAGATTCAAGTTTGCATATCAAGTATCAAGACTTGTCTGCAGCCTGGTCTACCACTGAAAAAGTGCAATACCTGCTTTAAAAATAAAACATATCTGGCAGGTTACACAGAAACTCCTGCTGCCTGAAGCCAGTCTTCTTCACTGGTCTGATTGCTGCCTACAACACTTGGACTGCGAGAGGAGGGAAGCATTATACTACCGAATTTGGTTCAAACTGAACTCACCATGAGGTAGAGGCTAACTTTGCCCAAAGCCTTAATGCCTGGAGAAAGATCTCCCAGACTACAAGTATATAAATCTTGTCTTATAATAAATGTACACTGAGCTAAGCAGAATATTCAAAAGCTGCTACAGCAATTTTCAACAACTATTTACACTAATTTTTGAAACACAGGTATTTTCTAGTAATACTTTAAATTTTAATTACTTTTTCTAAGTAATGAAATAAAAAGATATTCCCAAAATCATGTGAATTAGTAGAAAATGGTGGAATTGCATAACCACACATGCACTCACAAAAAGACTAAGCCACCAAAAGCGTAAGTCTCTACTTCTCAACTCTTTTTGACAGTTCCAAAATTCAGGCACACATCCAGAAGAACTTTCTGCCCCATGTCTGGTCAGTAAAGAAATTGAGGTTAACCTTTAATTTTTAATGTCACCTGCAGCCAGTGACTGCTTTTTCTAATGCAAGTGACAGATAAACAGCAAAACACTCCCAAGATGATACACAAAGCACCACATACCATAAGTGCATTTTTATTTTTATTCCAACTCAATTTCTCAAATGGATAACCAATGTTCCTACTAATTTACATTAAGAATTGAGTGAGGCATGAAAATTGTTCTGATGCATAGGCTCTATTTCTTTAATGTACTGCATAGTACTCTGTACTTTACTGCAATACTGGAAAACACTAACTACACTTAAAAGGTACAGAAACTATACATACAAAACCACAAGCACATATATATCCTAAAAAACACTTCAGAAAGGGCTTTAAATTCTCCAGAGCAGTATAAAGTAAAAATAAAGTCACTGATGGAAGTCAGTAAAAACAAAAAACTGTTGCTATTAAACCAAGTTTCCTGACCTTTAATCACTTGAAGTAGTGTTCTTCTCTAGACCAGTACTAGTACTTTAAATCAATACTGCTAGAATTTCAACCTTCAAATTCCTTTACACAATTCAGGTAATTCCAAACTAAACAGAGGGAATATGGCAAATGGAGGTAATATAATCTAGCTATTTAAGGCAAAACTGGCAAGTCTTTAACAGCAAACATGCATCATTACTAAACACTGCCATGTTGTTAAAGTAAGAAGAGGTTTGAATTAGATCCTGAATTGCCCCTCCAGGTCAGGACTTAGGGTATATTATGGCAGAAAGCAAAGGAAAGCTCCCACTGACACTGTGTATGTTTTACCAGTTCTGTGGAAAGCAGACTTCAGTACAGCTATCCGTCACTTTTAAAACCAAATACTACAGTCAACATTTTAACTTGTCTTTTAAAATTTAACATAGAAAGAAAAGCACCTACGTTTGTAAAATAAGATTTTCTTTTACAGAATGGTTATTTAAAATAATTTTTGCACAACTACAGGAAAGACATCACAAACCTTTTAACATACACTAAATGTGCAACTATGACATTAAGGTAAATGAAGCAAACTCAGTTTGCTTAAAAAAGGAAAAATTAACTTACATAGTGGGAGGTACTCAAACACAAAGCAGACAGTTGTCCTGAGAATGATACTCTCCAATCAAGTAGCGCTGGGATAAGGCCCAGGCATCAGCAGCAACAAGGAAGCTGGAGTAGCAGTCTCAGTACCAGACTTCTGGAATTGACTTTTGGATGAAGAACAAAGATGCTTGATGAAAAAATGCTAAAAGAATCTATAATTTTTATTTTTTAATTTAACCTAAAGGGATTCAAGTGACCTAGGGCATTTGATTTCTTCAGGAAATTTCCATATGCGAAGAAGTCAAGGGACAGAAACTAGTATTTTTTTCAGTCAGGTAACTATTTCAAATAGTCACAAAACAGGAGAGATAGAAACAGCATTTAAGATAAGTCCATGTGGTTCAAATTATTTATTTCTAAGATGACAGTAACAGTAGAAAACCAATCTAATAGCTTGAGCATTATGAAGACTTCTTCCATCTTCAACCTGAAATTCACCTCAACATGCAAATCTTGGCTATTTCTCAGCATTATTTTAAATTCCAACTCCTGTGACTGAACTTCTTTATATTCACAAATATAAAACTCTCTATAAAATAGATATAAAAGTAACTTGATATTGTTAGATGTGTTTTCTAGAAAGTGGTTAATTCATTATAAGACCAAAAAAAATAGTCCAGGGTTCAATAGCACACTACAGCTGGTTATACACACACTACAAATGTTCAAGGCTACGGTTCTAAGACGACTTTTAACAAATCAAATTCCAGCAACTGATCAGCCATTTATCTTTTATTAACTCTCTTTTAATTGTTTGAAAATGTACTTGTAAATTAAGAAATATTTTTCTAAAATACTCCTCTCTTCAAAAGATGTTTATGCAGAATTTTTCAGTTTTTGTGAGTTAAATTCTATTCACATAGTGATGGGATATGACTATTTAAAAAATAACTTTTCCTGTGAAAAACAAATACGCAAAGCTAATGGTGCTAATTGGAAACAGGATCTTCCCTTTCTGAAAAGCTGATATTTCACTCGGTTTCTACAGTTTCCACCAGAAAACCTAAGAACACACCACCTAGACACATTAAAAAAAAAAAAAAGTCCTAGAAGACACTGATTTTGCAGGTAAGTACCAAAAACAGTTCCTGTAATAGGACCACTGTCGTCAAAACAAATTAAATTGAGTTTAGAAATAAACTCTGAAAAACATGCTCACTTTGAAGGAATAAATTTGGGAATTTCTTTTTAAGAAATTAAATATAATTGTCTTCACAGGAGTATATTAAACAGTTCCAGCTAAATAGTGGGAGTTTTGGTGGCTTTGTTTGTTTTCTGTTGGTTTGCTTTGTTTTGATTTTATTTAATTTTGCTTAGTATCCTAGTTGCAATATAGTAGCATATAAATGTATTTTTATTCTAGAGCATACTTTGACTTATTAAGCCTGGCATTAAATTTTATAACAAGATGTAATATATCTAATTCAAGAGGGCTCAGAGTTCCCTGTATTACTTATTAATATGTTAAGTGAATGGACAATTGATTTCAACTAGGTTTTGTGACTAAAATATGTGACAAAATACAATTTTCAAATTACATAGTCCATTTGTCATAACTACTGCTCTAATTTCTATAGGTGTTAACAAATTAAGCAAAAAAAAAAAGCTACACTGACTAAATAAAGAACAAACCCACTGTTTTTCACACACAATAGCAAAAAATGCTACTGCCTCTGCCCAGTTCTGGTAGAAAGTGAGCATAATCACTTCTTGGAAACAACAAGGGAAAAATAATAAACACAAAGAGAAATACAATCTATCTATAGCTATTTCATGTATATCTCTGCTTCGATACCTGTATCTATATCTGTACATCTATATCTACATCGCTACCTGTCTCCTGGGTTAGTGCAAATAACTCCTCACATCACAGCTGTATTGGTAAGTGCAATGGAGCGCGTGTGCTGAGGACACCAGTGTGAAAACCAGAGCTGCAGCCCAGGCAGAGGAAGGCAAGCTGCAGTGAAAGATGCAACAGCTTTCGTAAATGAAGGCAGAAACAGGAGAAGCTGTGCAGGGGCAGTTTAACGCCAATTCACACAGTGTTCTGAGTTGGTACCAAAAGGGAAGGGTGGGTTTTAGAAGGAAAGGATCAAGAAATAGCGACCTCCCTAGATTGGAGAAGAGCAGGACCATGGGGAAAAGGAAGCGATGGATTGAAATCTCTTCTGTGTGTTACAGAAACACATTGCATGCTTAGTAAAGGGAAGTACAGACGAGTTTTGGTCTGCCGGCCAAAGGACTGGTGTCCTTTGGCGCAGGCTGGCAGGTCCATTCGTGGGCCCCAATGTCAAGAGGTCTTGCAGAAGGACTGGAGCACTGGGCAATCATCAGTGGCATCAAACTGGACAAGAGCAGATGCTACATTCTGAACCCGGGATGGAGGAGTGCCAGCCACAAGTGCAAACTGGGGGAGGGATAGCTGGAGAGCAGCTCTGCAGAAAGGGATCTGGAGGTGCTGGTTGGCACTCCACTCCCAACCACAACCCTCCCCCAAATACTAGCTTTTAAAAATGGCTGAGTTGTGTCTTTTGGAAGAAACAGAACCAAACACGAGAGCCTTAGAACAGCAGCGCTCCATCAGGAGTCCATCTGGCCCAGTGCTCTCTCTCCAGTGGCACCCCATACGTGTCTAAAGGAAAGTATATAAGGAGTGCAGGTCTACTTCCGTCAGGATCCAGAGGGTGTTCATAGGCCTCAACTGGCCTCCCCTGGGACCTGCACTGCAGATAGCCCCTCAGACCTAGGTCACAGCTTGCCATGCAGAACTATATGCATAACATGTCATAGCTGTTCTGCTCTATTCTGTTCCGTCCCTTTCCATTCCCTGCACTCACGATGAGTTGTATAAAGATAAGACTATTATTTACCTGAAATGCCAAGGTGTTTTCAGCACCAAAAGCACTTTCAAAGACACAAATCAGACACAAATCAGGTTGCAGGTGGAAAGAGTATTTTATTTATTTCTAAATAAAGTTATTTTATTTACCTTAGTTTAGTTTAGCTTAATTTTAGTCTAATTTAGATTGCATTTCCTTTTTCTAAAAAGTGTTCACCTGATGCACACACGTATCCAGCAGCAGGCTGACCCGTCCTTCAGTTCAGCTTGGAAAAACCCTCCCTTGCAGCCTGAGACAGGACAGCCAGGGCAGGAGCGGTGCCATGCTGGGGCAAGAGCAGTGCAAGAACCCAGCCAGAATGGGCCAGGGAAGACCTGACAAGGGGGGTGCTCAATGCAACAGAGGAGAAGCAGCAAATCCCGGGGCCACATTGGGGCTACCCTGGGAGTGCAGAAGGCTTCCTCACCCTGCATGTGGGGCGTGAAGGCCACCTGCGTGGACCACGAGCAGCTGCCTTTGGGCTACAATAGCCCAAAAGAGCCCCATGAAGGGGCTGTGCTCGGCTGCGGAGGAGGCAAAAAACCCTGGGGACACTTGCTAGTCCAGCCTGGGGACAAAAAAGCCTTCCCCCCCAGCTGCAGGACACGAGGGGCCACCTTCGTGGTGCATGAGCACCAGGCGATAAGGCAGAGCACCGGGACCAGAGGAGCCCTGACAAGTGGTCACGCTCAGTGCTCAGAGGAAGGCAAAAAACCCCCGGGGACCGGTGCCAATCTGCCAAAATTCCTTCCTGACCCCAGTGCTGGCGATCGGCTACTCCCTGAGCACCCAGACCTGCTGGTCCCCGGGCTGGTTATGCCTCTGAGGGGACAAGGGGACGCTGGCGCTGCCTTTTCTACCTGCACCTGGAGCCACCGCGGGGGGGGGGGGGGAAGAAAGTGGAAACAAAATTCTATTCTCTGTTCTTCCTCCCTCAGAAAGAAATTACATAACTATGAATAAATGTAGTCATAAATTAATCTGATATTTCACTATCTCAGTAAAAACATCTTCATCTCCTTTCATCAAGATTCAATCGTGTTTTTAACATCTATGCTAGACGTAAACCTGAAAGTTTTTCACACAGTCTTTCCATTTAAGTAAGTAAACTTTATTTACACTTTAATTTTGAATAGCCATGTATTACTTTTTTGACATCTGTCCACTATAATACTGTACCAGAATTAAAAACTAAAAATACTAAAACTGACATCAAGCTGTGCTGAAAGTACCTTAAGGAAGAACAATACTTTTTAAAACAGACTGTGGCATGCTTAAAGTATGGGATTTGGTTACTGAACAGTGTAGGAATGTCCCACTTCTACACTGCTTCTCAGGTATACATATGCACAAAGGAGCATTTTAAGATGCCAGCAGCTGAGTAAGATACTCACTTGTATAGGTCTATTAAATCTGTGAATTCAGGAGCTGCTGCATTTCACAGTCTATTATTTATATGACAGAATGAAGATCTGAAAACATGAAATATAGCCTTAAATTATTCACTTATTCTTTTCACAAAAGGAGAAACCGTCAATCTAACACTAAAAGACTTCAAGCATATTTCTAAAGGTTTCATGAAAATTGCCTTATTTATCAAAACTTTATTCCCACCGTTTGTTCATTAAATACTGTAGCTTTGCATTAAGGTCAAGCAGTGTCAACCAATTACTGTTGCTGGAAAAGTCCTACCTCCTTAACACGCAAAGAAACCACAGTATATAGTGAATTAATTTAATAGGCAAACTGAAAACTGTTTACCCAAAGTACATTTCAACCATAAAAATATATTTTATAAGGGCTTCTATCAACAATCAATTATAGTACTATTTATTATCACAGCAGCGTTAAGTATGATTCTTTGTCTGCTTAAATGCCAGCCTTTAAAAAATATACACATATATTTTAGCATATTCAGCAATAATTCTGTTCTTAGCTCATACTAAGAAAAAGAACAAAAATTAAATTACCTATAAAAAAAACTGAAAGGTAAAAAAAAAAACACTGAATTTTAAAGAGATAATATCAATTGTTATAAACATTCTGGCTTCTGTCTTCATACTCTACTGGTGGGCAAGAGGGTTCAGCTTGTATGACAGACCTCAAAAACCACCATCCTGCTTTCATTGTTCCTAGTTTTATAGTTTTATTTTAGGGTAAAATTCTCCATCTTGTAATACACAAGAACAGGTGAACAACAGACAAATGGATTTTACATGGTTATGCACAAGAAAAGGCCACCCATGGGGCATCATACCAAAC